TTTGGAATCGTCCTACTGTGGGAAAGCGGTAAGTTTACGGACTTACAACGCTAAAACTCAGGGCTCGAGTCCCCGCGGTAGATACAAAATATAGCCCAATGTGGATTTATTCTAAATAAAAAAAAAATTCTGAAGAAGTAACTATCTCTTTGTTTTTTGTTTTATTTTATAATTTAATTATTATATCTATTGTCAAGAGTTTGAAAACATTAAAGAATGTTCATTTTTGAATTTAGTGCCAAGATTATTGTTAAATCAAGCTTAATTTTTTTCAGCTGTTTGGCAAGTTGGGACTACTGGAGTATATATTAAACACCCCTAGCCATCATCGTGTGCATCATGGTAATAGAAGTTCAATTTATTATTTAGAAAGAAATATATATTAACACTTGCCTGCCGAAAGTTTCTGCAATATGGCTATAGTTATACTGATCACTTTCCTAATATGATGTAGCTATGTCCTTGGCCTAAATAGTTGCTACCATTCTGCAAGGCATCTTTTAGCTAAGTTTGGCAAGTGTCTGTGCAATTTGTCTCTGTCATTTTCCCAAGCACTATGAAAATTCTTGATGACTTAAAAACTATGATCTAAGACCCCTTCCAGTCCCTTCTTAGTCTCTAAGATAGTTGGAAACTATGTTGAGGTTTTATATGTCCTATGATAGAGTGTATTATCCTGCTGAAAGAAACAATTATCTTCGAATAGATACAAATCCCCCATAGTTTATAGACCGTGTTAACCTAAATTAACCTTATATTTATGGGTATTTAGATGTGCACACTACAGATATAGGACTTAATTCACATAATGTGCGTAACCTCATATTTCGTAGTTCTTTTCAGTTGAACTACCGTGATCAATGTTCAACTGCTTAACATCAGTCTCATATTTAGCCATCTCTTGTAGACTGGCTTTTATAACTGCACAACATTTTCAATAATTTCCTGGATTACATTTCTGATAAATGATCGTGATGGTGTTGAATATTTTGCTTATTCTATTCCTTCTAAAGTAACTGTATTTATGAGACTTCGCAAACTTTACCAATTCAAAAGTAGTCACATGGTACTCAGAAAAGTATCCGTGCATTAGATGCAAAGTTGATTTTTGTCACTTTTTCACAACGCAAAGAAGTAACAGTTTTTACACATAGTCAGGAATTTCAGCTTACGATAAATATTCAAAAGTGTTGTAACATAACATTATCGATACAATGGACGTCTCAGACACAAGTGAACAAATACGGCAGCTATTTTCGCCACTCACACCAGCGTATAATGTCTTTTCTTCTAACCTAACGTAATTTGCAGCATTTTGTCTTCTCACATCTTGGTACTACCAATCTTCCTATCCGCACGTCTCTGTTCTTATAATCACTAAGTGTGTTTACTGGCTTTAGGGTTGTTCTTGTGTGAAAATAATTTTTACTCTTTAAATAATTTAAAGTTCTATATAACTAATAAAGGTTCTAAGTTTTTACGATAAAAGAATTAAATGGATACCTATCTTCTTTAGGATTTTGAGATTAACTTAAAATTAATATTTTAGAGGGCCCGGCATGGCCAGGTGGTTAGGGAGAACGACTTGCAATCTGAGGGTCGCGGGTTCGAATTCCCGTCACACCAAACATGTTCGCCCTTTCAGCCGTGGGGGCATTATAATGTGACAGTCAATCCCACTATTCGTTGGTAAAAGAGTAGCCCAAGAGTTGGGGGTGGGTGGTGATGACTAGCTGCCTTCCCTCTAGACTTACACTGCTAAATTAGGGACGGCTAGCACAGATAGCCCTCGTGTAGCTTTGCGCGAAAAGTAAAAAAACAAACAAACAATATTTTACACCAGTAAACAGTTTGAAGCAACACAGTAGTTAGTACTTTCCTTTGGAAAGCGCTAGTCGGTTCTCACAATATCTATCAAATATAATATAATTCCCTCTATTGCCTTTACTTGCAGAGGCATTCGCTTTTGTAAACTTTTCATAAAAGAAAAGAAAAGTTTACTTTGTTAAAATACCTAAGACTTATCTTGTGATTATATAAGTAAACGTCTACTAATGTGGTGGTTATTATTTGACACGCATAGATGTGCTTAAGATGAAATGCTAATCCACATGTATTTGCTGTAAATCTTTTCCATCGTAATTAAAGTAATAAAAACTTTGAACAGTAGCTCTGTTTTTTTACACGGGTATTTAATTTTGAGCTATATAAGGTTTAGAGATGATGACCCCCCGCTGTTTCAGCAGGAGTAAGAAACTATTCGGTTATTGTCCAAGTATTATAAGTGTTTATGTTTGAGTGAGCTTATAAAAGTGTTCACTGCATTTGTTAATTCAGTGAAGTGTCGCCCCAAACACGAGCCAAGAGACATGCCTAAGCAGTTTCATTAAACTTTAACGCTTAATGAAAAAATATGGCCGAAGAAATTGGAATCACAGAAACTCATTTGACTTACTGCCTATATGTGTTTTGGCGCAGCTTCATTGGAGCTGGTGACTTTGGTCTGCTTAAACGCGGACTTTGAAGTAGTCATCTACGCATATCGGGAGGGTTCGTGCAAAGATTTTCAAGACTGATTTTGCCGTTTATCACACGATCTGTCTATGATTTCGAGAATATGGTGTAATCATGATCATCAGAATGAGTAGGATCTACGTTGGAGAAAATGCATATAGTTTTAAGAATGTATGGGACTTGGGACATCGTTCTTATAACATGTTATTAACGGTGAATATTCTCTCCCGATTTATAATAGCTAAACTTTCACAGTTTCACTGATAATTATAAAAATGTTGATACCCAAAAATACATTAGTTTTTCGTTATGGTAATCAAAGCTAAAAAATTAACTTAGTAAGTAATGTAGCTGATTTAACTTAATGGCCTAATTAAAAGAATACAATGTCATAAAACGAAAACTTAAGATGATTAGAATGTATTGATCAATCAATTGGATACCCTAGCTGTTAACCATATTTTCGGCTAAAATTCCATTAATATCTCATGAGGCTAATCCTAAGTCCATATGCTAAGCTAACAATGTAAAATACGTATAATTAATATATATGTAATAAATAAATAAAAATAGGGAAACTAAAATAAATATCTCGTATATACATAAATATATGAAATTGGAAACGAATACCAATTATGTAGGAATTGAAGATTTTACATGAGTGATTAACGTGTTAGAAGTTACACATGATTAGTTTACCATATATTAAAAATTTCTAATATCATCACTTTATCCAACCACATCATTTGATAGAATGAAATGAAACATGATATTTTAGTGAGAACATGGACCCGTTCACTGTTTTGTCTAAGGATTGTCATACATTTATTTTTTTGTTATTACTTATGTTTATCAAATAGGCCGAAACAGATACTGTATTGACAAAAACTATGCTGGCGTTCTAATTGTTTGGGACAGAATGTTTGGTACTTTTCAAATGGAAGATGAGGAAGTAGTGTTTGGATTGACTCATCCCACAAAAACATTTGATCCTATAGCCATACAAGTAAGTTTGGGTTAATTTAGCTATTTTATATAATTGGCTGAATAAAGTTTGCTCAAAATAAAAAATATTTAGTTTCAAAGTAACGTTATTTGCACTAAATAATCAATATCTGATACTTCGAACACTATTTTTGTATGTTTTGTTGTTGATTAATGCTGGCAAAGTTTTATTCACGAAAGCTAATGTTCTTTTCGAACTGAATGTTTGAAAGTATTATATTAATTAAACATAGAGATCGCTTTACTGAATTATTCATGGTATGTGAATTTGTAGAAATGACATACACGTTCTATAAGATAAATGACCAGTATAATTTGTCATTAACTTTAGAATATTAAAGACAGTGGATTATAATTTATATCAAAAACATTAGTGGGATTTTAAAAATTCAATTTCTTAACATCTTACTGTTTTTTTTTAAATATTCCAAGTTGCAAACTGTTAAAACATTAAAGTGTGTTAGATTTTCAAGTCGATCCTCAAAGTATTTCTATATTATCATGAGTAGTTAGGAGGAATTAAAGTGAAAAATTATTTGTTAGCATTAGCACTTGCCTACTACTTTTGTGACAAATACTTATATATAACATGTGTATGTTTCACCTGTTAGTTTTCTTACATATAACATGTGTATGTCTCACCTGTTAGTTTTCTTACATATAACATGTGTATGTCTCACCTGTTAGTTTTCTTACATATAACATGTGTATGTCTCACCTGTTAGTTTTCTTGTATATAACACGTGTATGTTTTACCTGTTAGTTTTCTTGTATATGACATGTGTATGTCTCACCTGTTAGTTTTCTTGTATATGACTTGTGTATGTTTTACCTGTTAGTTTTCTGGCTTTTCGAACTTGGCAAAACAATTCTGGAACATTAAAGGATTTCGTAATAAGTTGTCAGTCCTGTTCAAAGGTCCCGGTTGGTCTCCGGGAAAACCTCGCCTTGGATATATTGAAGATATTCCTGAGGTAAATATTTTTTCTTGTATCGGAAAATTGAAATACAAAATTTCTGCCATCCAATTCGTAACAGTCTGCATTTCTTGCGTAATTAAACGCAGGTTTAGGCAATAAATACAGTATAGTCTCAGTGACTGTAGATAGATAAGAATACAGTCTCAGTAAATACAAATAAATAGGAGTATAGTTTTAGTGACTATAAATAGATTCCAAACCAATATGACTTTGCTAAAAGGCTAATTTGATAGTTGCATTATTATTAAAAATCCAATTAAAACAGTTCGTCAACTAGAGATTAGTAGATAAAACTCTGTATTCTATGTGCTCTAATGCACAATGAAAACTGTATGTTCAATGTCATCATGAATTTGTTAGTGATGTTGTTTCCTGTTTCTCTGGCTATTCCAGTTCTCTCTCTCTCTATGTATATATATATATATATTCGTTTTCTTTCTTAACCGTTAAATTAAAAAATTTAA